GAGAGCTGGGACACGTGGGTGTCGCGCGTTGTTAATGAAGAAGGGCGTCAGCCCAGCCGACGCGTGTACCGCGTTGTTCAGCGCGAACTCGGCCAGAGGCAGAAACGAGCTCCAGCTGGAGAACGACGTCGCGTAGCTTCGAAGGACGTCTTCGAGGACGCGATTTGCGCGCTCCGTCTGGCCGTCCGTTTCCGGATGGGCTGCTGTGGACATCACCAGCTTCGAGCCCAGTAGATCGAAGAGCTTCGACCAGAAGGCCGACGTGAGGCGCGGGTCGCGGTCGGAGACGATAGATTCGGGAAGGCCATGATGACGGAAGACGGCATCAAGGAAGTGCACCGCGGTATCTGCTGCGGTGATCGCATCCGACACCGGAATCATGTTGACCATCTTGCTGAAGCGGTCTACGAACACCAAGACACCTGAGCGTCCTTTAGCATCGGGTGGGAGCCCGAAAATGAAGTCCATCGACACCGAGCGCCAGGCCTCGGTGGCCAACAGTAGAGGACGCAGGGGAACTTGGGAAGACGAGGCAGGTTTTACGCGCTGGCAGATCTCGCAGGTGCGCACCCACTTACGTACCCATTTGTACAGGTGGGGTCAATAAAAGTCGCGTGACACCGCGGCAAACGTCTTCTCGCGACCGAGGGGAGCGCCCAGCGGGGCATCTTGAAACTCATTTATAATCCGTGAGCGCAGATCGGGGTCGTTTGGGACAACGAAACGTGGGGCATCGAAGTTGTTGGTGCTGTACGTCAGCAGCTCGTCCTCGATACGAAATCGGTGGGGTTTTTTTCGTACAGAGCGGGAATGGGCTCCCAGTGTGTCGGCGCTGGGGGAGCGGAGATGCTCCATGATACTGGAGTACGTCGAGTCATGCTCGTAAGCAGCTCGGATTTCGTCTCGGAGTGGCATTACCGGGGAGACGCTCGTCAGGTTGACTTCTGACGCTTCGCACGTGGCACACTCGTCTACATCGTCTTCATCGAGCGAAGCTTGTCGACCCAATGCACCGCGTGGGTCGTAGTCGGGACGCCGAGACAAAGCGTCGGCGAGAATGTTGTTCTTGCCGGGCTTGTAATGGACCACGAAATTGTACTCAAAGAAAATTGAAAGCCAGCGGGCCATCCGCTGGGAGAGATGAGGACTCTTCACCGCTGTCCTCAGCGATGCATGGTCGGTGTACACCGCGAAGGTATCTCACCCAAAAAGTACACTCTGAATTTGATCGGAGCGTAGCGCATCGCAAGGAGCTCCTTGTCGTAAACAAGGTAGTTGCGCTCCGCCGACTTCATCTGTCTGGACTGGTAGCTTACGACACGCTCTCGACCTTCATCATCGAATTGCATCAGCGCACAGCCGATGGCGAAATCGCTCGCGTCGCAGACGACGTGAAAAGGCTTCGCGTCATCCGGGAGCGCGAGGATTGGGGCCTCGGCGAGACTCTTCTTCACCGAGTCGAAGACAGCTTGATGTGCGGAAGTTCACGACCACGATGCATCTTTCTTCAACAACGAAGAGAGCGGCTGGATTATTCCGGCGTAATTCTTCGTGTACTTGTGGAGATAAATTGCGAGATCTAACCACTGACGCAGTTCAGTGGGATTCTGTGGCGTAAGCCACGCACATATGACGACACTTTCTCAGGGTCGGCGCGGATGCCGTTCTTGCTTAGAAAGCAGCCAAACACCGGAATCTCCGGCGCGCAGAATATGCACTTCTTCAAGTTGGATACAGCTTGTTTTTGCGCATCACTTGGAAGAATTGCCTCAGATGCTTCGAGTGGACTTCAAGCGCGCTGAGGCCTCCCTCAGCGCGACTGTGTACGAAGATGTCGTCGAAGTAGCTCGGTGCAAAATCGCGGAGCGGGCGCAGCACATGGGATACCATGCGATTGAACGTGGCGGGAGCATTCTTCAAGCCTTGTGGCATACCAAGTCACTCCCAGAGCATACCACCGGGAGTGCTTACCGCTGTGAGCGGTATGTCGCTCAGCCTCATGAGGATTGGGTATAACCCATCGGTCGAGTCGATGGCGCTGAAGACCTCACTACCCGATATTGCGTCGAGCACCATGTCCTTCAGAGGAATCGGCGTCTAGGCAGGGATGGTAGCGTCGTTCAGCTTGTTGAAGACATGGACGATGTACCACCCACCCGTGGCTTTCTTCACACAGAAGGTCGGACTGGAGAGCGGCAATGTGCTCTCACACACATGACCCGCCTTGCGGCGGCTCTCGAAGAAGTCATCGATAGCTTGGACCTGATCTCGCGGGAGCGGCCACTGCCGCGTCACACAATACTTCGAGCCGGGCACGAGATTGATCTCGTGGCGAATTTCTCGGTCAGCTGGTAGCTCAGCTGGGATCTTATCCGGAATAAAATCTTCATATTCGCGGGCGGACTCGTAGACTGGATTGCCGGATTCGCGTAGCGCTTCCCAAGATTGCGCTGCGAAGCGCTCCTCGCGGGCTGACTTCGGCTCGGCGCTCTTTGGACGCGAGGGAGCGTCGTCGTCACTGACTGCATTCACTTCGAGCGACGCCGAATCGGCGTCGGTGATCAGGCAGACCTGTTCGATTTCACCGTCCTTGAGGCCGCGAAGGAAGTTCGTCCAGGAGACACCTGGAAGTCGAGTGATCGACACCGACTCTCGAGGGGGGTTTGCAAGCTCGAGTGTTCGTCGGCGACCGGAGGTACCTTCCACATACTCAAACATGCAGACTGACGCCGTCGGTGAGCTGTCACTTGGTACGGGCTCTCAGCGAGGTTTCAGCCGACGCCGCTTCGACTTCCTCTTTTGCCGCCTCGAGTGCGAGCTCGAGGATGGCGAGTCGCTCTCGCTGGACGAGATGTCACCCCCTCTATCGGGAGCCCCTGCTCGACCGCCGTCTCGTACATCTGCGGGAGCCCCTGCTCGACCGCCAGTTGGTCTTCATCCCCGCGTTGCCGCGGGGATTCGTCAGTTAAAAGCACTGCGCAAGCCGTGCAGAGAGGGCCATCGCTCACTCTGTGCACAACGTGCGTCGTGGATGACCGGTCCACGATGGTGACGTGAGGGCAATCCTACTGGGCGACCAGGAGGTGCGTGAACACCTCGCTCACATCATAATCACTGCGACGCTTGACCGACCGGGCTAACCAGTCAATCTCTGGTTGATAGCGTGTCAACCACGGCATACCCAGGATGCAGTCAAACGCGTAATTCATCTCAATGACGAGGAAGTCGTCGCTGCTTCGGAAACCTTCGAACGTGTACGGAAGTGTAATCTCGCGCCGCGCAACGCGGCGTGATTTCCCGTCGGCCAACTTGACATCGACCTCCCCTCTACCTTTGCGGACAGTGATGTCCGACGGAAGTGCCGACAAGCACGACGCGCGGAAGAAGTTGTTGGTCGCTCCTGAATCAAGGAGCGCTCGCAGTGGTCGCCGTGCACCGGCGACATGAAGACTGACAATGATCAATCTTGAATCGCTCGGCGTGGTGGTGGCATGAAAGTGTGCATGTAGCAGAGGAGGGCTAGGAGGTTGGGTTGCCACCGGGGGACCCGGGCCTCCATTCCAGCCAGTAGGGCGCCCCGCACCTACTGGCCCTGACCATTTTTTTGCGGGTCAGAACTCACGGGCTCGGCATCGCCATGCGCAAGCACTGGAGCTGGCGCGCAGGAATCCGCCGCGCGATGACCGACCTTCCGGCAACGGAGGCAGGTGAGAGAGCGACTGCTCCGAGCACCGCTCCGACGCGCTACGTGACGCTGACGATTGCTCGTCGCATCGGTAGCGTCGATGTCCATGGGCTCGGGCGCAAATTCCCGAGCTGAAGCGGGCACGCGTGGGCGTATGACGCCGGAACCACGTAGTCCTCGCGTAATGCGAGGGCGAATGCCTCTTCCGAGTATAGAGGGGTCCGATCTTGTAAGGCAGTAGCGCGTCATGCCTTCGCGCATACCGAACACGAACACATGAATCTGAGAGGCCATATCGATGGACTTGGACACGATACACGACGCGAGGTGTCGTGGCTTCTGGACGTAGTCGCGCATAGCCATCGTGCCTTGCCGAAGGGTGAAGAAGTCTCCCCGCACTCGGGATTCATCTTACGGCGGCTCGAACGCGAGCCGAAGGTCACTCTGGAGGGTATCGAGAGTGGGGAAGGCGTTGGGGCCGACGACCAACTTGCCGAGGGCCCATTCCTTGGCTTTCCCAGACAACCGCGAGAGGAGGAAGTGGACCTTCGCGGAAGGCGTATCGATCAATCTCGAGGCGATGGCGATGTCAATCTCTCGAAACCAGCGATTCAGCGGAAGTCGGTCTTCTGCGGCACCGGAGTAGATGGACGTCTCTAGCTTCACGACATCATTCGTGGAGATACGCGAGGGAGTTGACACTTGCCGATTCGCATCGGCGAGCTCGCGTTCCATGAAGTCTTGTGCTGCAACGCGCTGCTCGTCGGGCGCCGCTGAACACAGCAGCGATGTGACGACGGCTTCTCCGGACACCGCCGCGAGGCGGTGGAGAGCTCCCTACTCGATCCGAGTGAGATGGGGAAAGCAGCGTGGTCGAGGTCTTGGCTCATGTCGAACTTGGCCGTTGGAAGGACTACGAAGTGCTGTAACGGGCCAGGTTTTTACTCCGCGACTTGCTTACACTATAGGGTTGAGGAAGCTCGCAATAGGACGACTGAGTCTTAGGTTTCAGGGAAATTCAACTCTGACTTTATTTTAGGACCAAGGCCACAGCCCTGGCCACTCAAATACACGTCATAGTCCAATTGGCTAATAATGGGTCTGGCTCCCCATATATCAGCCAATGGCAAAGCAGCATTTCAGCACACGCTAGTCGTGTGCTGATGCACCTACTTGTGTAAAAAAATCTACATACTTATGTAATGGAGGGGCCCATTCCACTGTGGCTCTAAAAGCCAACGCTCAACAATTGAGCTAAAAAGGTGTTGCCCATAAGCTTGTCCAAGCGTGGACAATCGTTCATGGAACGAGAGGGCGACGCCCTGGTGGTATCGAACCACCGACCTATCGCTTCTGAAGCGAGTATATAACCGCTGAGCTGTTGTCGACAACTCGGATGAGTTAAGAGCACATCTCTATGCAGTTTGCAGCTCTTGGAGTAGGCGCGGAGCGCGAGCGTAGGTCAGAGACCGCTTGAGACCAAGATGCGCGGTGCGCTTGGAACAATGGGCCGTGGGACGACGAGAAGTTGGGCATCAACGATGCGTAGGCGTTTGTGAGCTCGCGGAGCTGTACAACGCTGGTGTGAGGTTTAATAACGCCCGCCGTCTTGACAAGACGTGTCCTCGATGAGGAAGTTTCGAGAACGGAATGTTCTCATCTTAGTGCGGGAGAGTGTAACGGGTTACATGGTGTGGAACACACAGGGGTACGGAGTACCCGGAGAGCTAACAAAATCTCAGTACGTAAGTTGTAGAGTTAACAAGGTCTCTCAGTGCGTTGGCTGAAAGCCACACGTTTTGCATTTGATTAGGTTTACTATGCTATAGTTAAACAGATACGTTTACCCCTAGGCGGCTTGGCCGCAATAATAGTAAAAAATAAAACACTTCTGGTTTTGAAGCATAAAGTTAAGGTATTAACTTTGAGCCCTGGTCGAGGGCTGTAAGTTCCTTTGGATAAGAAACTTAGTATTAGTGACTCTTTGAGTCGAACGCCTTCCTCTGACGCTAAAGCTACGGCAGCCCCGCTGCAACACGTGCTCTAACGTGTAAGCCGAAGCAGTGGCTTAAGGTATACCCATTACACCACTAGCTTATCCAATACACAGTGTGATGACTCGCTATCAAATATAAGGCCAAACCTCTCTTTTATCTCTTGGCTCTGCCGGATGAACACAGCCTACGGCCAGTCGAAATGTTCACCGACAGTCATATCCAGTCTACCGGAACTATCCCACCACTACCGCATACTCATCTATAGTCGGACGTGCCCTTGTGTACGTGAGAGTAAATGCTGTTCTGCTCTTTGAGCACAAAGGCTCTCAATGTAATATCTGAATCCTACCATCAATCAATACAACTATCAAATATAAACATGTTCGTTTTGGATCCTTCAAAACCACCACCGACGACTCAGAGGGTCGCCTGATCCCGATCTGTCGCACCACAACCGTATCATCCGGCACCTTCTGTGTTGCTGTGACCTTTGCCGTCGTTACCGTTTAGAATCTACCCCCCCCCGCATGAGCCGTCACAGGCGCCTGCGACCACTCATCCGCGTCGCTTGGGTACGGTACTTGCCGCGACTGTTCACACTGGCAATTCAACAGCAACTTAGCAGCTTCAGTGTGACTTGAAGGTCACAGAACACGGAAGACTTATTATAGTGTCGGCAGCACTTGCTCGCAGCAGAGCCTATTTGACCGTCTGTGGTGACTTCCAAGCTCAAATTTGCCTACCAGTATCCCTTCTACCACACTAGCTAAGTATATGTACGTGTCCACAGCTCATCGTGATAGCCAATTTGGTTATCACAGTAGCTTGTGGACGCCTTCCGACAGTCGTCCTCAATGGCCTAAAGAAATTAGCGACGAGCAGTCGTTCTCCATGGCCTAAAGCACTCAGCGGCGAGCAGTGCCAGTGCGCCGCGCTGTCATCGGGGCACTTTCGCCGCTATGAAGAGCAACTATCAGATTTATGTGTTTATTTATAGGGATCAAATAGCGTACTGGCCTCTTAGACGTCTCGCACGTGCATATTGAGCTATCTGTCATAGCTTTTTAATGTGCGAGCACTGTTGTGTTGACTTTTAAGAGCTATTTGTGACATATTGAATAAACGTGCATAACAATAAAGAGCTGTCTAACAACAATACAAAATAATAGACCGGCAGAAGTCTTGAGTTGGGCCAGACTGTATGACGTTCTCTAGGTAAGCCTATCCAACTTCATGAAAATAGCGATGACTGCCGACGAATTCCGTCTAGAATATTTTTTTACATTTTTAGACTCCGCAGAACTGTTCGCTGAATGTTGCTCGTATCGACGCGCCAGCGTCGACGGCTTTAAGTGACGTACGTGTCTGCACAGAAATGGCTACATGTATAATACATGTAGAGGAAACCCGCAGGTAATATATTTTGCGGCAGCCCTGAGTCAATCACGGACAGAATATGATTCATAGCTGCACGGCGCGGCTTGCGGACACAACAACACAAGTAGAACAGCAACCTACACGTTGCTCCTAGAATCTCGAGCTACGATGCGTCATTCGTTGATTTACAGAACGATGGCGATCGAAGTGATGGGGGCAACGTCATCAAATTGAAGCGCGAAGTGCCTCTCGCCCGTTGTCGTACCTGTCTATAGATCTGGCGACGGCGTCATGATTCATGACTCATGAATCGCCCCACTAACACTCGGCAATGCCGGTGATCTTTCTTTTGACCATCAAATCTCCAATGCGCCGCCCAGCAAGCACCCTCAGAACGCGTCGGCCCTACCGTTTACTCTGTCAATGCGCTGGTAAATGCCCGTCAGCCACTTGATTGCATACAGCATCATCGCGTCACTGCTTCTAAATCTGGGATTGTCCCACGCTAGTACATGTACTGTAACTCGGCGGGTAGTCAGCGCTTTGGTTCGGTGGGCGTCACCAGCAGTATACATGTATGCACCTGAGACTGCACTGAAGTTTGCGAACTCGCATCAATGCTTTTAAAATAATGAGAGTGCAATCGACCTCGCCATTGCATCTGCAATAACCACGGCGGAACTGCCCGGCATAGGGCTTTGCTGCCATTCCACTTGCCTTACAAGCGCGCTTTCGGTTGAAGGCACGCTACAGCCGCTGCATTGAGACCAGCCGATGTCCGATACAAACGCCGATATACAGTACATGTATATGGACGACCAGTGACGTCGACGCCAGGGGAGACGAAGGCCGAAGCGCGTCATGAGATCTGCCTGGCTCTGCACCCATACTTTCTTCTAGTAAGGATGCGCCACATCGGTTGCGCGTCAGCAGATCGCGATAAACTCGAGTTCTGCCTAGAAGAATGTCTGCAACATCACAAGGGCAGGTGGCTTCATAGTCGGTGCGAGTGGAAATCGACAGGCCCAGATGCGTTGGCGACAGTGAATCAGCCTTCCCCACTGGAGTATTTCCCTTTTGCAGCTCACCCGCCCGCAAGAAACAAAGGAAAGGAGGCAAAAAGGGCTCCAGACGCAGCAACACGGACGCCACCATTCTCCTAATCTTCTAGACGAAAGCAAACATCACTATGAGCGAGGTTACGGAAAGCCACACAACCACAACGACCACGACGGCGGGAGAGCAAACGGAGACGGTCGTGACGACTACGACAACCACCACAACCACCACTACGACCGAAGAGACAACGTCCGCGTTGGCAGACGCAATGGACAAGCTCTCGTTCATCCCGGAGTTCGGTGGCCAGGGTATCTCCTACTGGACCGAGCTGCAACGGCTCTACACCGCGTCTGAAACCAGCAGTACGCGCGTATTCATCGATAACGCGGCTCAGGCGCTGCTGGAGGAGTCCAGCTCGGATGAGGCCAAGGCCTCCGTCGCCTTCGAGGCGGTCATTGATGTGCACAGCTGGCTGCAGACTCTGGAGGCCGGCGACGCCCCCCCCGGCTTGGCACTGGACCGCGTCTTCTTCAGCATGCCTCTGCTTGCGTTGACGCAGTGCGCTAACTATCTTAACTTCCTTGAGACCGCGGGCGTGACCCACGAAAGCGTGGTAAAGAACTCCGCCACTGCTGTGGGTCACAGCCAGGGTGTGGTGAGCGCTGTCATCTTCTCGGCGGCCAAAACGGCCCAAGAGTTTGCCGAGATCGGCGTCTCCGTGCTGCGCTACATGTTCTGGCAGGGACTGCGCGCGCAGGAGACGTACCAGCACCTGCTGACGCAATACAAGCAGGATGGCAAGAACGTCGAGGACGCCGGTCCGATGCTGGCCGTACGTGGGCTCAAGAAGGAGCACGTTCTCAAGTCCATCGAGGTCGCCAAGCGCCGCACCAAATCACCCGACCTACATCTCTCTCTTATCAACGCATCCGACATGATGAACGTGACGGGCTTCCCAGCAACGCTAACACTGCTGAAGCAAGCCCTTGAGGGTCTGTTCGCCAAGCCGGACGTTAACCAGACCCGCATCCCTCACTCACAGCGGAAACCCACGGGTTCGCTGTCATTCTTGCCGCTCTCGGCTCCATTCCACACACCACTGCTGACCGAGGCCAAGCCAAAGCTGGTGCAGGACGTGCAACGAGTCAAGTGCGTGATTAAGGGCAGTCAACTGCAGGTGCCCGTGTATGCTACCAACGCGAAAGCCACCAACCTCCAGACGGTGGACGACGTGGTCGATGAACTTATTAACATGCAGCTACTGGAGCTGGTGGACTGGACGGCGACGTGGGCAAAGATAGCTGAGCACCACTCGAGCGCCACGCACATTCTGGAGTTCGGCCCCGATCTTGGCGTAGCCAAGCTGAGCGACAAGGCTGCAGAAGGCCTGGGCATCGAATTGGTCATCGCGACTGCCAAGCACCCGGTTATGAGCTCCTCGACGACGTCTGCTCCCCTTGTCGGTCTGCAGCAGTTCATCGATGCTGCACCGACGTTCACGTCCGTTGAGGCTACGTGGGTGGAGAAGTTTGGCCCGCAAGTGACCGAATCGGGCAAGCTGGTCAACAGATTCACGCGCGCGCTGAACAAGCCGCCTATTATGGTGGCCGGTATGACGCCGACCACCAGTTTAGAGGGCATCGACCTTGTTGCGGCCATCCAGAATGCTGGTTTCCACGGTGAACTGGCTGCGGGTGGCCTGGCGCGTCCCAACATCTTCGAGGACGCAGTGAACGAGCTCGTGTCAAAGATCAAACCCGGTCTCGGTATTGCGATTAACATGCTGTACCTGAACGCGAAGCAGTGGGGCTTCCAGTTCCCGATGGTGCTACGTATGCGTCGCAGCGGTGTGCCTATCGAGAGTATCACTATCGGTGCCGGCATTCCGACCAAAGAGCGTGCGCTTGAGATGATGTCGCAGCTGGAGGATGTGGGTATCAAGGTGGTTTGCTTAAAGCCTGGTTCTGTAGACGGCATCCACGCTGTGCTGGAGATTGCTGAGGCCATGCCGAGTATGACTGTGATGCTGCAGTGGACAGGCGGTCGTGCTGGTGGCCACCACAGCTTCGAGGACTTCCACCAGCCGATGGAGGAGACGTACGCGGCCATCCGTCGTGTGTCGAACGTGCTGCTGGTTGTCGGCTCTGGTTTCGGTAACTGGGAGGACTCGAAACAGTACCTCACGGGCGAATGGAGTCTGGCTCGCGGCCACCTGTTCAAGATGCCGGCAGACGGTATCCTCATGGGCTCGCGCGTGATGGTTGCGAAGGAAGCTGCGACTGCACCAGAGGTCAAGAAGCTGCTGGTGGACACACCTGGCATCGAATCGGAGCTGGAGTGGGAAACGAGCTACACGGGCGAGATTGGCGGTGTGATCACGGTCACGTCGGAGCTGGGCGAGCCCATCCACGTCGTGGCGAACCGCTGTACTCTGCTATGGAAGGAGTTCGACGACAAGTACTTCTCCATCCCGCGCGACCAGGTTGAGCTGGCCCTCCGTCTGAACAAGAAGGACATCGTCACGCGTCTGAACGCCGACTACCAGAAGCCGTACTTCGGCTGCAAGCGCAATGTGGAGACCGGCGAGAGTGTTCCCGCTGATCTGGAGGAGATGTCGTATGGTGACGTGTTGACGCGTATGATCGACCTGATGTACGTGGAGGTGGAAGGCAAGCCCCATCGCTGGGTGCATGACACCTTCTTCTCTCGTGTGAGCAAGTTCATCACGCGTACGGAGGAGCGGTTCCGTCGTGAAAGTTCTGGTGACCTGTTCGACCAGTCAGAGCTCAAGACGAACCCGAGAGGAACGGTGACGGCATTTATCACCAAGTATCCCCAGACGGTGTCAACTCTGCTGTCAGTTCCGGACTGTGACTTCTTCCTGGATCTGTGCCGCACTGGTGGCAAGCCCGTGAACTTTGTGCCTGCGATCGACACGGAGTTCAAGACATGGTTCAAGAAGGACTCGCTGTGGTACTCAGAGGACTTGGACGCCGTTCCGGAACGTGATGCCCAGCGTGTCTTCATCCTTCAAGGCCCCGTGGCCGTTCGCTACAGTACCGTCGTGGACGAACCCGTGGCGGATATCCTAAATGGCATTGCCACCGGTTTTGAAAACATTGTGAAGGAAAGCGGCGCGGTTGCTGCTGCCACGGCTGCTTCTGCTAAGCAGACGGTGAACTTCGCTAACGTCGAGGTCACGGAGAGCGAAGGCCGCGTAGAACTGTCAATCTCCGAGGAGGAAAGCACTGTGCCTTCTGCTGACGAGTGGCTGGCTTCTCTTGCCGCGTCCGTGAGCGACAAAGAGTGGCTGAACGCGCTGATCTCGTCGACACACGTCGTAGAGGAGAAGAAGTGGCTCGCGAACCCGGTCCGTCAGCTTCTTGTGCCCCAGGCTGGCCAGAAGTACGTGGTTGATGCTGCTGGTATTCGTGTATTCGACAACTCGATCGACATTTCGGGACCTGTGGTCGAGATCACCAAGAAGGATGCCAGCATCTCAGTTGTTGTGAATGAAGTGCGTCCGGCCGTGACTGGCCTGAAGGCTGGTGTCGTGGCGCTGGAGATGGCTTTCCAGTACCACCCGGAGCTATCCTGCTCCATCCATGCGGAAGGCAGCGGCTTCATCGATAAGGTTAAGGCGTTCTACGCTTGCTTCTGGGTGGCGATTGAGGACAAGGAAGAGGAGTCGTGCAAGGCTGCATGCGAGGAGAGCGTCATGTCTCCTTTCACTGCTGAGTTCTCCATTACGAAGAAGGACGTTGTTGACTACCGTGCTGCTCTGGGCCTGAGTGACGACGAAGAAGGCGCTCCGGCTGACTTCTCGACGATCGTGTCGTGGCGTCCGCTGATCCAGTCGGTGTTCACTAAGGAGGTGAAGGGCAACCTGCTAGATCTGGTGCATCTGAAGCACTCGTACAAGCTGCTGTCGTCGCGCAAGGCTTCGGCCACGTTCCTGCCTGGCGACGATATCGTGAGCACGTCGAACGTCGGCAGTCTGCGCATCATCGACAGCGGCAAGATCGTGCACGGCGTGGCTATCATTTCTCGCAAAACGGTGGACGATCAGATGGTGGAGGTGCTTGAGCCTCTCGTGGAGCTGCACAGCGAGTTCCTGATCCGCGGCACATTTGATGACTTCGAGTCGACGTTTTCAATCGACAAGTCGGCGGACGCGTTCGTGCCCAAGCGCCAAGAGGACGTGGAGATCCTGAAGACAAAGTCGTGGCTGAAGCTAGTAGCTGACGCCTCAGTGAACATCGGCGACCACCTGTCGTTCGAGCTTACGACCAAGAAGCAGTACGCATCGATCGGTTCGTTGAGTTCTGTGGAGGTGTCGGGTACGCTGTTCCGTGACGAAGCGGGCTCGAATGTGGAGCTGGCCACGGTCGAGTTCAAGAGCAATGACGCGAACGAGAGTCCTGTTGTGGCCTTCTTGCGCCAGGTACTGCCTGAGGATGGCAAGGCCAGCGGCATGTTCTCGAACGGTGGCTCACACATGCTGGAGAAGCCGCTGGAGATCAAGGTCCCGACGAGCGCTTTGGCGTACGCCGTGGCATCTCGCGACCTGAACCCGATTCATCGCTCCAAGTACGCGGCGATACTGGGCCACCTGCCCAAGGGCAAGCCGATCATGCATGGTCTGTGGACGGCGACCAAGGTGCGCGATCTGGTGATCCAGAACTTCGGTCTAGGTTTCGACAGCAACGTGGTCGACTACGACGTCAACTTCGACGGCATGGTGTACCCGGGCGACAAGCTGTTCATGCAGGCTCGTCACATTGGCCTCGACAATGGCAAGAAGGTGCTGTCTGCTGAGGTTGTGAACGGCTCCGGTGAGCGCGTCGTGAGCGCGCGCGCTGTCGTCAAGCAGGCGCCGATGGCATTTGTCTTCACTGGCCAGGGCTCTGCTGCTGTGGGTATGGGTATGGACCGCTACCAGGAGTCCTCGGTCGCTCGTGACATTTGGAACCGTGGTGACACTCACCTGCGCAAGACTTTCGGCTTTTCTATCCTGGACATGGTGCGTAAGAACCCCAAGGCCATCATGGTGCACTTCGGCGGTAAGAAGGGCCGCAAGATCCGCGAAAAGTACATGAGCTTGACTTGCGAGGACCCCGTGACTGGCGAGATCGCGCCTTTGCTGCCGGAGATTAACGCTCGTACGCAGAGCTTCAGCTTCTCAGCTCCCGAGGGTCTGCTGTTCGCGACCCAGTTCAGTCAGCCCGCATTAGTGTTGTTGGAGAAGGCTATGTTCTCTGAGATTGAGGCGGCTCAGCTGATTCCGGATGACGCTCACTTCGCTGGACACTCTCTCGGTGAGTACGCCGGTTTGAGCTCGTTTGCTGGAGCTCTGGCTGTCGAGGACGTGGTGGAAGTTGTGTTCCTACGTGGCTTGATCATGCAAAAGGCTGTGAAGCGCGACGCTGAGGGACGTTCCGACTACGGTATGGTGGCCACGAACCCCACGCGCGTTGGTCCTCACCTCACGGAAGAGGTGATGCACAAGATCGTGGACGGCGTTGAAGCTGCTTCGGGTAAGCTGTTGCAGGTTGTGAACTTTAACATTCAGCAGCGCCAGTACGTCGTGGCTGGTGAGAACGTAAACTTGGAGACCCTGTCGCTGGCGCTGTCTGCTTTAAAGACGCTGAAGTTGACTGCTGCTGAGGACATAGAGAAGGTTATTGCCGACTCATTGGCTCAGGCTCGCGCTCGCAAAGAGAAGTGCGAGCAGACTGGACGCCCGTTTACGCTTGCGCGCGGCCAGGCGACAATCCCGCTGGTCGGCATCGACGTGCCGTTCCACTCGCGTGAGCTGCTTGGCGGCGTGCCGTCGTTCCGTGCGCTGCTGCGTACCAAGTTCGACCCGCAAGTGCTGGAGCGCCAGCTGCCGCTCCTGGTGAACCGCTACATCCCGAACCTGGTGGCTACTCCGTTCTCGCTCAAGCGTTCGTACTTTGAGGAGGTCTACGCTGCGACCAAGAGTCCGTATCTAGAGGAGGTTCTGGACCCGATGCAGTGGAAGTTGACGTCGAAGGCTCAGCTCGCGCACTTGCTTGTGGTGGAGCTGTTGGCGTACCAATTCGCATCCCCCGTCCAGTGGATCAAGACGCAGGCGCTGCTGTTCTCGGAGGGCGGTGTTCGTCGCTTTGTGGAGATTGGCCCTGCTCCGACGTTGACGAACATGGCACTGCGTACTCTCCAGGTTGGCGACTTCCCAGACGTGTCGCGTGAGATTCTATGGTACCAGCGTGACCGTGAGGTTGTTCACTTCGAGGAGGAGACGTCCAACATTTCTGCTTCCGAATACGCCCGTGGTCTGGCTGCCGAGACTGCTGCTGAAGCTGCTGCCGCCGCTGCGAAGGTTGCAGCCGAGTCTGCTCCGAAGGTTGAGGAGGCCCCGGCTCCGGCCGCATCGGCACCGGTTGCTGCACCCGTCCAGGTGCAAGCTGCTCCTGCTCCTGCTCCCGCCGCTGCTGCTCCTGCGGCTGCCGACGCTCCGGTGTCCGCTCTCCACGTCCTGCGTATTCTTCTCGCTGTTCGTCTGAACAAGGAGCTGGCTGAAATCAAGGAAGACACGGACGTCAAGACGCTGTGTGCTGGTAAGTCTGCTGTGCAAAACGAGATCCTGGGGGACCTCGAGAAGGAGTTCGGCGGCGGTGTTCCTGAGGGTGCTGGCGAGGTGCCGCTGAAGGAGCTGGCATCCAAGTTCTCTGGCTACAACACGCTTGGCAAGGTGACGAATGGTCTCGTCAACAAGGTGGTGGCGAGCAAGATGCCTGGTGGCTTCACGATGTCGAGTATCAAGGAGTACCTGGGCTCTGAGAAGGGTCTGGGTGCTGGACGCATGGAGAGCGTGTTGGCTCACTCTCTGCTGTTGGCCCCGCAGACTCGTTTCAAGGGCGACGCGGACGCGCGCAAGTGGCTGGACGAGAGTGTGAGCGGCTACGCTTCATTCGCTGGCGTCTCGCTTGACCGTCCGACGATGGCTGCTACGCCCGGTGCAGTGGGCATGTCGTTCAACCCTGCTCCAGTGTCGATCCCGACGGTGACTGACAAGCCGGTGGAGGCCAAGCATGCTCTGCTGGTCATGCTGGCGGCCAAGTTCGGCAAGGCTTTCAGCGAGGTTCCGGAAACTGCGACCATCAAGGAGCTGTCTGCTGGCAAGTCAGCCGTGCAGAACGAGATTGTTGGCGACTTGGAGAAGGAGTTCGGCTCTGGTCCGGATGATGCAGCGGAGATGAAACTGGCTGAGCTGGCCGGCAAGTTCCCCGACTACGCGTCGCCGGGCAAGGTGACGAGCGCTCTGATTGCTAAGATGCTGGCGAGCAAGATGCCTGGTGGTTTCGGTCTGTCTGCCATCAAGGAATACTTGTCTAGTGAACGCTGCCTGCCGAGCAGCCGCATTGAAAGTGTGCTACTTCACGGTCTTACGCAGAACCCGAAGGCGCGTCTGACTGATGACGCGACAGCGAAGCAGTGGCTGGACGGCGTCGTGGATGATTACGCTAAGTACGCTGGCATTGATATCCCGTATCTGTCGAAGCTGGGAGGCATAATGGCTGGTCCGGCGATGGGCCAGCCGGTGATGCAGTCGAGCTCGCTGCCCAGCGACTTCGAAAAGCGCTTAAAGACCATGATCGCGGACCAGATCGACGCGCTCAACTCGTACTTGGGCGAGGACCAGCTGGACTGGCACCGTAAGATCGAGACGGAGGTGGGCATGCGTGAGGAGATGGAGACGTCCGTGTCACAGTGGGTGACGGAGCATGGAGAGTTCTACGGCGCAGGTATTGCCAGCAAGTTTGACGCCAAGAAGGAGCGCCAGTACGACAGCTACTGGAACTGGGCTGTGCAGGACGCCATGGAGCTATACTACCGTACTGCAGCTGCTGCCAAGGGCACGCCCGTGAGCTCGAAGCTGGCTGTGAACGAAGGCCTGAGTACGCACTTTGAAGCTATGAGCCGCTTTATCAACAAGAATGTGGACACCATTACGGATGAGTCGGCCCTTCCGCCGCTCGAGTGGTTCAAGCCGTACCTGTGCAACCGTGCCACGCCTGAGCTGCTGCAGTGCACGCAGTTCTTCGTGTCGCGCGCTGAGGAAGAAAGTAGTCCCGAGCTCGCCCAGGCGGTTCAACTGCTGGTCGAACAGGTGGAAGAGTGGCTGAGCACGAACCCCGTGAACATGCAGATCTTCAAGCCAAAGCAGCCGCAGCTTCGTATTCTCGAAAACGGCAAGCTCGAGTACGATGAGGTGCCTCGCGAAGGTGTGGCTGACTCCATCAACTACGTTGACGAGGTTGCTCGCGGTCTCGAGTATAACGACGCTATCGAGACTGGCAAGGTTGCTGGATCAGACGTCACGGCAGGAATGACCAGTGCCGTCGGATTTGAGTCGACTCTAAACGACAACGGCAGCATGAGCAGTGACGAGCCTGACAGCGATGACGACGACGAATTTGAGGAGGAGGAAGCTGCATTGGGTGACAAGCAGACCAGTAAGACCAAGAAGGTCGCTCCTGCCAAGGGTGCCAAGCTCAACGCCTTGCGTGACTCTCTGCGTAAGCGCGCCAAGCGTGAGTCGGAGAAGTCGCTTGTGGCTCGTTCGTCCTCGCTGCGCTTCGGCTTGAACGAGAATCTCAAGCAGATTGTTCTGCCGCACGTGCACGTCCGTAAGCCGTCCGACGTGGACCCGACCATCCGCCTGTATGACGTTGAGTCGACCTGTGTGCTACTATCGTGCATGCGCGAGATGGCCTCGACGGGTATCTCGTTCGCTGGTAAGGTGGCGTTGCTGACTGGTTGCGGTAAGAACTCCATTGGAGCTGAGATCGTCAAGGCGCTTCTGGAGGGTGGTGCTACGGTGTTCGTGACCACGAGCAGCTTCAGTATGAAGACGACCGGCCTGTTCCGTGAGATCTACGAGCAGCACGGTAGCCGTGGTAGCCGTCTCATCGTACTACCGTTCAACCAGGCATCTAAGGTGGACGTGCAAAGCCTGGTGGCACATATTTACAATGTGCACAAGCTGGATCTGGACTTTGTGATTCCGTTTGCGGCTCTGTCAGAGGTTGGACGTACGATCACGGACATTGACTCGCGTTCGGAGCTGGCACACCGCATCATGCTGACGAACACGGTGCGTCTTCTGGGTGAGGTTGTGACTGCTAAAAAGGCTCGTGATATTACTACTCGTCCAGCTCTCGTGATCCTACCCATGTCGCCGAACCACGGCAACTTCGGTGGAGACGGTTTGTACGCCGAGTCGAAGCTGGGTGTGGAGAGTCTCATGAACAAGTGGTATTCGGAGGGCTGGGATGATCAGCTTTCGATCGTCGGCGCCATTATCGGCTGGACGCGTGGCACGGGCCTCATGTCGGGCAACAACGTGGTTGCTGCCGGTGTCGAGAAGATGGGAATGCGTACGTTCAGTACGACGGAAATGGGCTTCAACCTGAGCGCTCTGATGCACCCGAGCATTGTTGACCGTGCTGCTGAGTCGCCTATCTTCGCGGACCTCACCGGTGGCATGGCTCAGGTGAGCGACCTCAAGGACCAGGTGGATTCTATCCGAGCCGATATCATGAAGAAGTCGAAGCTGCAGGCTTCTATTCATGCTGCACTGGAGAGCGACAAGAAGCTGCTGGCTTTACCTTCGAAGAAGCAGGTGGCCACTCCCAGCTCGAAGACGTTTGCTCCTCGCGCCAACATGTCAAGCTACTACTGCAACTCGTTCCCGAAGCTGTCGGGTGTGGCTGGTCTGTCTGCCTCGAAGAAGCAGGCACTGTTGCGTGGTATGCTGGACCTGCGTCAGGTTGTGGTCGTCACGGGTTTTGGTGAAGTGAGTCCGTGGGGTAACTCGCGCACGCGTTGGGAGATGGAGTCGTACGGCGAGTTCTCACTGGAAGGTTGCATCGAGCTGGCGTGGTTGACCGGCCGCGTCGTGTTCGACAAGGGCAACTGGGTGGACGCAAAGACGAAGGAGATCGTACCGGACCACCAGGTGAAGCCTCGGTACGAGGAGGACATCCTGAAGCACTCGGGTATCCGTATCGTGGAGCCTGAGCTGTTCGATGGCTACGACCCGAAGAACAAGATGGTGCTGCACCAGGTGGCCATCGACAAGAAGATGTCGCCCATTGAGGTGGCTGACCGTGAGGAAGCTCTGCAGTTCCGCAAGGAGCTGGGTAAGGAGAACGTGGACATCTTCCAGAATGCGTCGGGCGCGTGGATGATTCGTCTGCGCAAGGGATCTGTCCTGAACATTCCCCGTGCTCTCAACTTCGACCGCTTTGTGGCTGGTCAGATCCCGACTGGCTGGAGTGCTGAGCGTCTGGGTCTGTCGAAGGACCTGGCCGAGTCGGTGGACCCGATCACGCTGTATGTGCTTGCGGCCACAATGGATACGCTCGTCGCGGCTGGTGTGACGGACCCGTACGAGTTCTACCAGTACGTTCACGTGTCGGAAGTCGGCAACACGTCAGGTGGTGGTATGGGAGGCATGCGTGCGTTCACGCAGATCTACAAGAACCGTGTGCTGGGCAAGCCTGCCCCGAGTGACGCCCTGCAGGAATGCTTCATCAACACGCCTCCTGCTTGGGTGAACATGCTGCTGCTGAGCTCGTCCGGTCCTATTAAGACCCCCGTTGGTGCTTGTGCCACGGCTGCTGAGTCGGTGGACATTGGTACGGAGACGATCAAGAGTGGCAAAGCTCGCATCTGCATCGTTGGTGGCTACGACGACTTTGGTGAGGAGGGTGCTTACGAGTTCGCTCAGATGAAGGCTACTAGTGACTCTGTCAAGGAAACCGGCATGGGCCGTGAGCCCAAGGAAATGTGCCGTCCGTGCTCGACCACGCGTGGTGGCTTCATGGAGAGTCATGGTGCGGGTATGCAGCTGCTGATGGACGCTCAACTTGCTTTGGAAATGGGCTTGCCGATCTATGGTATCGTCGCGCTCACCAACACGGCAACGGACAAGAATGGACGATCCGTGCCGGCTCCTGGCCAGGGCATTCTGACGACGGCCCGTGAGACTTCGTCGGACAACTCGAAGCCGTCACCGCTGCTGGACGTGGAATTCCGTCGCCGCCAGTTCGACGACGAACTCGAAAGTATCGAGAAGTGGTACGCTCGCGAGGAGGCTTTGATCGACGGCGACGAGTCTCGTGTGGCGTTCCTGGATGAGATGAAGGTGCGTAAGGTGCAGTCTGCGCAGTCAATGTGGGGCGACAACTTCTTTTATGGCCGTACGGATATCGCTCCTATTCGTGGTGCGCTGAACGTGTGGAATCTGGACATCGACGATGTCGGTGCTGCTAGCTTCCACGGTACGGGCACCACGGCCAACGACAAGAACGAAAGCGAGGTGACGCACAAGCAGATGGCTCACTTAGGCCGTTCTCCGGGTAACCCACTGCCTGTCATCTGCCAAAAGAACCTGACGGGCCACCCCAAGGGTGCCGCTGCTGCTTGGATGCTCAACGGATTGCTGCAGGTGCTCAATTCGGGCTTGATCCCAGGCAACCGTCAGCTGGACAACACGTGCGAGACCCTGCGCAAGTACGACCAGCTCGTGTACCCGAACCGTAGCTTCCAGACCGTGGGCGTCAAGGCCGTAATGATGAAGAGTTTCGGCTTCGGTCAGGCCGGTGGTGAAGTGCTGTTGGTGCACCCGGACTTTTTGCTGTCTACGTTGCCTGCTGACGAGTTCCAGCACTACTCGGCTCTCCGCGAACAGCGTCTGATCAAGATGAACACGCACACACAGAGCGTGATCACCGGCAAGCATCCGCATATTCAGGTGAAGAACGAGGCGCCGTATTCGTCGGCGCAGGAAAGCAACGTGTATCTGGACCCTACGGCTCGTGCCGAGTACGACGCGACGTCCAAGACGTGGCGTTTTGGAGGCGCGGACTCTTTGACTGCGGAGGAGAACCGCCGTCTGCGTGCTGAGAAGCGCGCGAACAAGGCGAAGGCTGCCGCGGAAGCGGCGTCGTCGAACAAGAAGATCTCGGACGCGCACCAGGCTGACTCGTCCTCGACGCTGTTGACTGCCATCAACCAAGCGGCGACGGACCTGGGCCTGGCGTCCAAGAACATGGGCATGGGCGTCGATGTGGAGCCCGTGGCCACGTTTGAGAACTTGAACGGTCGTGAGGACTTCATCCGCCGCAACTTTACGGACCAGGAGATGGCGTACTGCTACAGCGCGCCTCACCCGGCCGCGAGCTTCGCCGGTCGCTGGGCTGCCAAGGAGGCTGTGATTAAGGCCATTTCCAGCTCGGCACCGACTGAGCCGAACCTGTGGAAGGGTGCTGGCGCTCCACTCCGTGAGATCGAGATCTTCATGACGGCTTCGGGCGCACCGTCGGTGCTGCTGTCTGGCTACCCGCTGCAGGTTTTCAACCGCTTGGGCTTGTCGAAGCTGAGCGTGTCCATCAGCCACTCGGGCGACTTCGCTGTGTCCCAGGCTGTGGCTAACTTCCAGCAGGAGTAAGTGCTCGTGAAGTCTCTATAGTTTTGCATATTACACAGTGCGTACTTCATGCTGTACATTTGAGTTAATGAACTTCAGTGAATACAATTGCATCTTTTTTAAAACTCCTTGTCATCGACTTTGTCTGAATTATTGAAGTTAACTAACTAGCACTTGTGATTGGCTGATTTCAGTTTGAAGAAAGAAGAGGAGCATCAAAAAGAAGAACGCGCCAAGCATAGGTAAAGCTGAAGCACCATGGTGAATGTGTCGCCGCTGCCTATAAACGATGGAGAGAGGCCATCCTCGTGTAGCTCCTCGTTCTCTAGCTTCTCCAACTTGCTAGACGTTGCAGATCCGCTTGGCATCAGTTCATCAGCACGCGTGCAGGTCGCAGGATTCAGTCAGCAGCTTCTTGACTCGCCCCAACGTGACGCGGGTCGAGGCGACCAACTACCGCATCTGATTGAGCAGCGACTGCTCGGCCTCCTGGGCGAGCCGCTGTCGGACACAGACCGCGTCAGTGTCCAACAAATGCCACTGCGCCCCTGTGTCGCAGGGGAGATGGTAGCAGTTCAGGACAGTGACGGCGTGTTGCGCTATGGCAAAGTGCGCGACGAGGAGCTTACCAGCGGCGAAGTCAAAGTGCAAGTGTCCAAGAGTTGCATTAGGTGGTACGCGGTGTCGCAGATCTACTTTTTCCAGTCGGTTCGCAAGAGCGGCAAGAATGTCGACATGTGGATAGAGAACGGGGACGAAGCAGACTCCCCTGTCGGAGTAATTGCGGAGGTGAACACCCTGCTCGCACGAATGAATGTATCACTGAGCTCGAGCTACGAGGATTTGATGACCGAGATCTTGAGACTACAACAACGTACGACACTGGCGGAGAAAGCACGACGAGAGGCGATGAAGCAGGTCAATCTGGCCTTACGGCAGAAGAGAGATGCGGAGAAGGCTCTCGTCTGTGTAGTGTGTCTGGTAAACCCGGTGGATCGCGTATTGATCCCGTGCGGGCACAGCTACTGCTCCACCTGTGTGGAGCGTCTCCACCGAGACTCATGTCCTGTGTGTCGGCTAGAGATTACGGATAGCGCAGCCTTTAGAATCTCATGAGCGTATGTTTTAGGTACATGCTGGGAAATGTAGCCATTCAAGTAGATATTCGTTGCAGTTGCCCCATCAACCCTTTCATTCTCCGATTTGTTTTGTATCGAGCACGTCTCTAATATGACTAGGGACAAGGAAGGGATCGCGCTGTGGCGCGCTGCCAAGAGCTGCAATGCCAAAAAGCTTCAGCAGTTCGTGAGTAAGGAGTCCGATAGCGACATCCAAGCTCTTCTGGATCAGCCGCATCCGGAGAAGGGCACCACCCCGTTGATGGTCGACGGAGACTGTGCGCGCTTTGATTGACTTGGGGGCCGATCTAGATGCTACTGACAAAGGCAAACACCAGAGCACAGCGCTTCATTATGCGGCCTACAAAAACCGCACCGCCCAGTTGGAGTTGCTGCTTGAGGCTGGCGCCGATATATTTGCCCTAAACGGCAAGGGACACACTGCGCTAGACGTGGCGAGACTCCGTGGACGGAAGGAGGCAGCGGCAACTCTGACTTCCCGGCTGCAGGTACATAGCGGCTGGCTGTATCTACGCTCCAAGTCGATGCTGGGGTTCTGGAAGCGGCGCTGGTGCGTCTTGCTGGCCTGCAACTCGAAACGCACGGCGACTGAGCTCTGCCTTTTCCACGGACCGGACAAAGCCCACCCTGAAGCTATTCTCTGGCAGGACAGCATGTCTGATACCACGCATTGCTCGCCAGTTGAGCACGGGAAAGCGAACGGCTTCGAACTGAACACGCGTGTGATTTACCAGAAACTCTTCGCTCGACACTACAGCCGGTACAAATCGTCAGGTCGAACGCACGTCCACAAGGCAAACATGCAGCCCCGCGAGTACGTCTTCGCATGTGACACTGAATCAGGGAGAGATGCATGGATGAGGGCACTGGGGAGTCGACAGCGTGGAGGGGAGTGCTCCAGTACAACGGTTAGCTCCACGTATGTGGGTTCTCCACGCAGATCGAGCATCGGCTCTCGTGCTACCGCACCAGTCGAAGACCACAGCAGCTCTGCTTTATCCATCCAAGCATCCAAATTGGGGTCATTGGCAACCCCTGCACCAACCCAACCCGTGACCCGTGCAACAGCACCAACGTTTGTCGAAGACGACGACGGCTATATCTGGGGCGATGCACCCGGGTCTCGAGCCACATCCACGCCGGAAGTGTATCCACTAGCGACGGTGATCACTATTAGTGGTGACCCTAATGAGCCACAGGAGACCGATGCATTGTCTGTACGGAGAACCAACGGGACTCGGTCTGTATCCCGTGCGGCCACGTCGCAGGTTGCTACGACTGTATGCGAGCTGTAACGCAGGAAAACTCGTCGTGTCCAGTGTGTCGCGCTCATGTGGATGGCGTCGTTCGGATCCAGGATTGAGCACCGGAATGCATTTTTGTAACTGTGAGTTTTTAACCTTTGAATATTCAGATTGCGTTGATAAGTTCGAAGTGTCTTCTGATTTTCATGCGGATACAGTAAACCTAATGGGTTCACCTTTTGCAGCTACTTAGAAGTTTGGGTGCAATCACTTGCCAAAACGTCGGCCACTATCAACTTGCGCCTGCACTTCGGCCATGCTGGGTCTACTGTGGGGAGAGGAATGGAGCGTCTGGAGAGCCTCTAAGAAAGCTCGTCTGGACAAATTGAAAGAAGTACTGCGATTAGAATTGCAGCCTAACATGGTCGTGAATCGCAAGCATCCGGTGAGGGGACTTACGCCACTTATGGCTGCCACTAGGGCCAAGAACACTACCAGCGTCGCAGAGTGTGTTCGTGTCTTGATATCTTACGGCGCGGATGTCAACACCGTAGACAACACTAAACACAGGAACACAGCGCTGCATTACGCGGCTTGCAACAACAAAGCAGCTGCTATCGGCATTCTGCTGGATGCCGACGCCGACGCATTCGCTCGAAACGCCGACGGATTCACAGCTTTGGATCTGGCCTGGATGAACCACCGACGAGAAGCAGCAAGGGTGTTGATGAAGCGCATCCAATTTCAGACTGGATGGCTGAACATATCCACTAAAGTCGCAATACCTCGATGGAAACGGTGTTGGTGCGTTGTGTTAGCTCGCGAACCGGAGTACACGTCAGCGGAGCTCTGCGTCTTCGACCATCCGGACCAAGCTCGCCCTGGTATAGTACTGCAGTTCGGCTCCAGCTCTACGATTGTGATCCCGTCGCAGAAGCTCTTTGAGTTTCACGTGGACGGTGTCAGAGTGCAGCATCTTGGACTTTCACGCTCAAATAGAAGCCAAGACGAGGAATGCTGCCACGAGCTCGCTTTCCTCATCGACGAGTGGAAGTTGCCAAATGATCGGCGCTCGTGGTTGAAAGCCCTTCGAGCTAGCTGCGCATTTACCACGGGAGACCGACGTGCATCAAGAATCAAGTGACAGCGTGATCTACCAAGTCAACAGGCAACGGGGAAGCGTAGTGAGCCGTGATCTTCGTCCATATCGTTTGGACGGCGTAGCTCACAGGAATAATTGTGAAATGGCACGTCTGCATATCTTCTCTACACGTAATTCCATTCTCCAACTTGAAGCTCTGTTCACAAGCGATTTGCATGTTAGCAGCCCACTGAGGCTCAGTCTGAGCAGGATGAGTACGACGAGCAAGCTCAAAACATTCCTGGCAACTTCGCTATAAACTCACATTTTAGGCGCTTAAAATTTGTGGATACACGCGATGCCTTAGGACCCAACCTCGTCAACTGGACGCACCATAACAAAGGAACCACGCCCCTGATGGTAGCAGCCGAGGGCAGACGCGGAGAGGGAGTCATACACCAGCTTATAGCTGCTGGTGCCGACGTCAACGCTGAAGATGGTACCAAGCTCAAGAATACGGCACTGCATTACGCCGCAATGACAAACAGCGACACCCTGACTGTCAACGCACTGCTGGAAGCAGGAGCAGACGCTTTTGCACTCAATCGAAAGGGGTTGTCACCACTTGACCTCGCACGGCAATATCGCCGGGAAGCCGTTGCTGCAGCCCTCATGGAGCACATGAAAGTGCATAGAGGGTGGCTGTTCCTACGTGGCAAGTTCCGCTGGAAGAAACGTTGGGGTGTCGTGGTGGCCTGCAATAAGCAGCGCACATCGAAAGAGCTGTGCGTGTTCCACAGCCCAGACGACGTTCGCCCTGATGCTGTACTGCTCGTCGATGAGTCTGCTCGAGCGTCACCTTTCACCTCCAGCGATAGCTTTTGCTGGTTGAAACGTGAATACGCCTTCATCTTTGACAAACCTGTCATGTGTCAGCGTGTGAAGCGACAGAAGCTCACGCGCTCCCCTATTTGCCGCAAGACCATGAGCCAAGAAGATGTCCAGACTCGAGATCTTGTGTTCGCCGCCGACAATTTCCACAATCTCGAGCGTTGGCAGCGAGTTTTGCAGAGTAATAACTTTTATGACCGCGAGACTGGAGCTCCTCTTTATGGCATGCCGCCGTATGATGTTCCTCGCGGCGAGCTCTACTATTGGCCGCATGAACTCGTCGAGAATGTGAGATCGTCAACACTGCGGCAGCAAGAACGACGTGAAGAGAACCGTGAGTCGTTGGCTGAACGGCTGCGTCGTACGCTTGAGCAACCCCAGCCACAGGACGAAGAACCTATTGAAAATATGCTACGAGGTCTGCAGGAACCAAATACTGCAGACGGCAACAATCAAGCGCGCGTTCGGTTCGCGACGTCAGAGCTGCATAAAACCGTCGAGGTGGTGCAACCGGCACAGCACCCTCCTCCGAGTGAAGGAGAAGGCAACAATGAACAAGAAAGCAGCGTGGGGGCAAACGATGAACAGCAGATTTCGTCGTCATTAGAAACGGAGGAACCAGATTTGTGCGGAATGTGTTGTTCACAGCGACGCAATGCAGTCTGTGCCCCTTGCGGACATCGGGCAGGCTGCCACGCCTGTCTCAGGACTGTTATGCATACCTCTCATGCATGATCATTTTGTCGAGCTCGTGTCCGCTCCATCATGAGAATCTACGACTAAATTCATTGGAAATGCTGCGTTAGCTTAGAACAAATTCGTTAGGACAGATATTTTATCTCAATGAGATGTCCTGTTGAAGAACCCCCAAAAAGTAGGGAAAGATAACAAATGAAGTCAAGGACAAATTGCTTGGCAGTTTATTAATAATCGCACGTAATAATCTCTTTTCGGGAAAAGGGTTAGCCTTTTCACTAGGTAGCCCTATGGGTCCACAGCAGTCTGCTATAATAATAGGGGCGCCGCTGATTGGGTATAACTCGACAATAGAGGAGTGGGTACAACGCCTTACAGGACCTCTTCACCCTTAATAGTACCGTAAAGTCTAGAATAGTTAGACCAGTTTAAAAATCTGAATTTGACATCACGTCTAGCAGCAATTTCGCGTTCTCCATCTACGAGCTGTTGAGCACCGACGCCGATGGAGTCCCGTTACTGCAACCTAATTACGACAAAACGACAGGTCTTGCAGCAACCTACCAGCCTCCCGTACACAAGAAGCAACCCCCAGAAGCAACACACGGCGTAATTTATTTTAGGGCTTCCTTCTTTTGAGAAAAAAATACCGGAACTGTGAAAGTTCCATAAGCCATTTGACAAATATCACAGTTGCCCAAGAGGAATAGCGGCTGTTGGCGCACACACAAAATGGACTAAGGCAGCAGCAAACACTTCGACGGCATTTGCTCCGATTAACTGCCACCGCCACTGTCCCCCCCAACGCTACAGCCACGAAGTAATGAAGGCACCACTCTCTCGCGCACTCGAAAGGCTATAGTTTGCAAGCAAATGCTGCGCTCTCGCCTCCAGAATATCAAGCTGATCGAAGAAAAGCTGGAGAAAATCTCACAGTTTTCACTAGAGCTTATGAATGAACGAGACAAGTTGGCTCTGATGATAGCTCACGTGAAGGAACAGACTATCCGCCTTGCCGCCGCTGCTGGAGTACCTACGCACGAAACAGGCTACGTGATGTCGTTCTCCGTGGCTCTCGAACAGAGCTGCGAAGCTCTATTAGAGCACATTTAAATCAGCTTAATACAAAACTCCCAGGAAGAAGAAGAGACGACGTAACTACTTAAAAAATCGATACCATTTGGCGAAGGCAAGTGCTCGTGCTAATGTGTTATGGTCGCAAGTAGCTCCAAGTCAGTCGCCTCTATCTCCTTAGCAATTTGGTTTGCTACAGTGTTAACTTCTGGTTGCATAACTATCATCCACATGATACGAAGCCGCATAATTGCGATATCGTCTGTTGTAACGGCAACTTGTGCAAGCTGGAAGCTGTCCTTCAACACGGAATAATCTTGGGCAATAGTCAACACACCACACGAAGTTTTATCGGGCTGCTTTGGCGACATTAACCATACTTTACTGTTCTCCACTGGATAATCTTCATTCGGCATGGTTTTATCATGCCACTCTTTCAAAAATGGCACAACCGTAGACGTGTAAGTCGCTTCCATCGTATCGCTATACGAAGATCCGCACATTGACTCGTAGTAGTAGGGTGTAAAGCACGGATCTTCTCTTTTGTAAGCAATGGCGACGATGACGACACCCCAATGGATGTTGCTTAAATGCAGAGGCAACACAAGGTAGTGGAAGCTCGAAATTTGTGACGGTGGTGGTTTCGGACAGCCCATAGTTGGAGAAAATGAATCCAATGCGTAACAATCTCCCAGCGCATCGCAGATGCATCGATAACTGAAATTGATAATGACATCAGAGAGCATTCTGTCACGCGCAAGCATTCCAACGAGCGTGTCGACCTTAACGGCGCCTTCACCACTTGATAGTCGGAAAGTAGAACTTAAACAAGCGCCCTCGAGCTGTACCACCACTTCGTTTGCCAGCTCCTGATGTTTTTCCCCCGCCGACAGTAAGAATATGTCGTCCGAATCAGTCTCCGCTTTAAACAACTCGGGGTTTCCAAGGATATTGCTCCACTTGGTCGTTTGCAGCCATTCCATGTCAGCTCTCCATGCGTTAATTTTTTTTTTACCACGTTGTAAAACTCCGACATTTTGAAGACGGCTTCACTGTTGTTACAGGTTCGTACAGCAGCCAACAACATTGTAGAAGCAAGTCAGTCACAGCAACACACCGAGCAGCACACCGAGCAACACACCGAGCAACACTACAAAAGCTTACCTTGTAAATCGTGGCGTTCCACCAGGAAAATATGCAATAATTGCTTCGGTGTTGCTGTCCTGGTGCTCAACCACGGGGTTGAAATACTTCGACTTGGGTCGCTTCTTCCGTTCTGCTTCAATGACCGCTTTCAGCTTAATTACTAGCGGTTTGGGAATTACAAAGTTGTAGACGTAGTCCTTGGGAGACACAGACTCTCGACAGCTGTGTGCAACACGCGCATTCATGAAATCGTCGTTTAAGATCGTTGGGTATCCTGCCAAGATCTCGCTGACATGATTCTGGTCGGAAGTATTTGTTGCCCACACGATGACGCGAGACACAGATGGCACATGTTTGTCCGGTAACGTAATAACGGCTAGCTTATTAGGCTTTGCGGGTTTCTCCAGCCGAGCTTGCTTTAGTTTTATTCGTTGGTTGCTTCGTGGTTTGGGTTTTGGAATACGTAGCACTTCCAGACGGCCTCCTTGTGTTCCAACGTTTTTCGATATTTTCTTGGTCGCTTCTGCCTTTACTGTAGGGTAATCACTCTTCACACTGGGTGGTTCTTCCGTAGATTTTACCGTGACCGCGGCTTTTGTCGCGTAATACTTCGTTAATCCGGGCTTCACGCCCGGATTAACGCCAGGATTCGCCGAAGTGGAGGTGGCGATGTCAATGTCACTGGATGGAGCTGTTTTATTCCGTGAGGTTGAACTACCAAGCTCACTTTCCTGCGACGACTCGGCCCTTGTAGTATTTCTTTGCAGATCAAACTCACTTTTCTCAATTTCACGAATGAAGTTCATAGTTTCAATGAGATCTGCTGGTGCTATGTCAGACGTAGTGTCGATAGCATCCAAGTCCTCTCCTGATCCGCCTTCATCTGGCACTGTTGTAGCGTCTGATGTTTGCTCTTCGGCTGATCCAACATCGTGTAGACCTTTGTTAACTATTGTTTTCCAGGCCTTCAGGGTGGAGTAGAATGCTGGACTCGACAATTCCGCTAGATGTTCCATCACATGTTCAAACACAGCTTTTGCATAGCAGTATTTCTCTTCTGATGACAGTACAACAACGTTGGCACGCTCTCGGCGCCGCATCCTTACATATACGACACGGCGTTTATGCTTACGCTGGGCTTCACCGCCACTTCGATCATGCTTTTCTTGAGTTGAGTCATGGGTTGCTTCTTGTGTTGCGGAATCATGATGGGTCGCTTCGACCATCTCGATCGAATCAAGTTGTGTTTCGATCGCGTCCGCTCCCGCTTTCTTTTGAGTCAAACCATCATGTTCATAAGCTGCACCTACTACTTTCATCGAGGCCTCCACAGCTTGAAGCGATGATATACCCTCTCTGAAAACCTTCTCCAGCTCCACCATCGCCATCATGATACCCCAAGTTGCTGGTACCGTGTGTCCAGTCCATTACCTAACTGTCGGACCACAGCTCGAAGCATGTCTTCTGAAGCGATGTCTGCATAGCTATGACACAAGCAATCCCCATCTGATCTTGCACAAGAAGAACGTCGTTGTTGTCCTCCTCCACAAATGTATCCAGTAGCACCCTGGTCCGCTCCACTGTTGTAGATCCCAACACTTCTTGCAAAATGTTTCTAGTCTGCTGTGAAGTCAGAACCATATCTGTTAAAGCAAACATAAAATAACAATGTTAATTTAAATTGATAAAACAAACTTTGACTGACACATCCTCGTCACGGTCACCAGAAGCACCCACCAAGCTAATCAGAAAGATATCGGTTGATATCTGCAGTGCTGGCCTTCATGTCTGCCAAAAGTCCGAGATCTTCTCGAACCTTGGACGACAGAGGCATCGACTTAGCTCCGCGGTACGAATCGTAAATAGTCTTGCTGGTTTTGTGGTTGTGCTTCGAGATCTACAGAAAACGATAATATGATAAGTCGGTGCTCACAAACGAAGCACATAATGTCAAAAATTCTTACCTCCGAGTCCAATTGAACGGCGACTTCCCATTTGGAACCTCCTTTCTTTACAACGTTTGCTGATCGAATCGTAAAGCTTGCCTCGCACCTGGTGTACCTCCAGCCATGGTCTTGTCGACCTTCCCCACGTGGTTCTTGCATTACCCCGTGCGTACACCGTATCCGCTTAAAACTTTGCGATAGACGCTCCGGAATGGGTAGAGCTCCTGGGCGGCTAAGCAACACGAAAGCAACAAAACAATCAAAATAGAATAATAAAAGCGTTAGTATATCCTATCAAAACACCACTCGTTAACCCCACTTGAAGATTACCTGTTGTGTTTCTCCCGAGTTTCAGAGCTTCGAATACGGTAATGCAGAAAAAATTCTGCCTCGTACCTTTCGAGTGCTGTCTGAAACTCAGTCCAGTTGTTGAATGTTTTGACTGGAAGCTCTGGCACAAAGTTATCCACATGCTTATGCGCTTTCAGCATCTTATTTCGCTCTTCCCACGTTTTAGTCTTTCGTTGAGGTAGGCGCCGTCCCACCGACACAGGCTGAGAGGAAGTAGCATGGCGGGGTTGTCCCCCATAATTAAGCTTGGAACGCTTGGGTGGAAACGCAGTTGTTACTGCGTCATCACAAACCGAATCTTCGTACTCCGTTCGAGACTTTTTCTTTTGCGGTTTTGACTTCGACCCCGCAGTTGACTGACAACTTGTTCTGGGATTGATTGTAGCAGTTTCAGCTTCGGCGTTCTGTCGGGTGATTGTCACAAACTGGCGAACCGCATCTTTAATATCAACAGCCACAAAAAGTTAGCAACATTACAAAACAACACACAAAGCAACACAATGAAGCAACACAGCAAGCAACATACCGAGGCTGACTTGACTAGCAGGTCTTGTTTTGACAGGTGCCGTAGTTCGTGAGTGCTGCGCTAGCGGTGTCTCCGTCTGCGGCATCTCCGTCTGCGGCGTCTCCGTCTGCGGCGCCTGCGCTAGCGGCATCTCCGTCTGCAGTGTCTCCGTCTGCGGCATCTCCGTGTGCGGCGTCTGTCGCTACATCTGCGTCTGCTATGGCGTCGGCAATAGCGGCTTCTCCGTCTGCGGTGTCTCCTTCTGCGGCGTCTCTGTTTGCGGCGTCTCTGTCTGCGGCGTCTCTGTCTGCGGCGTCTCCGTCTGCGGCGTCTGCGCCTGCGTCGTAGACCTCGTCCTCGTTCACCAGACCCTCCATGTCAGCATCTTCATTCATCACATCCGCTTGGGTGGCTGACGGGTCATCGATATACATATCATCGTCCACAGGGTCCGTGGTGAACCCTTGAGCAGCGCGGACGTAGTCGACTGGCTTGTGGTATCGCAAACCAGCACGACGTTCTATAAACAAACAAAATATCGTCAGGTGGCGGAAGCAGCACGAGTACCACGATGACTTGAACCCGTACCTTCATCTGTAGAGCCGTCTTCTCCTTGCGCTGGCGCTCCCTTTGCCAACATCCTCGCCGGGGCTGCGGCCTCCACTCTCGCTTTCTTTACTTTAAAACGGGGGGACCGTGGGATCCGTACTTACTCGAACAAAGTAAGAAATTCGTACTTACTCGAACATAGTTATCACAACATTTGAAAATTCGGCTCTTGTGATTTTTTACGTAATATAAACCATGATAAATTACCCAGCAACCCAAGAGAGTCGTAGGTTGCTCTCAGCGCTTTGTCGTGTAATCGTAGATAGGTTGCAGTAACGACTCCCACGCCGATGGGGCAGACTGGATCTTTGAGCACTCTGACACGGAGGAGGACGTAACCCCCCCCCCCCAGCACAACCAGCGCGGAGGACGACGCCGCGTCCGACAGTGAGACGACGCGGGAGGGTGGCGATGACGCATCACAACCAGTGCGTCGAACCGGCAATCCATACATCGATGCCCTCATTGAAGCCAGCGGCCTCCATCTAATCCGCGAGGGAAAAGTAAATTCAGCATTCAAGGAGCGTGGCGAGTTAGGGCTACTCTCGTTCTTCTTCACGCGAGAGTTCCGCGATTCATTGCAAAACTGGACCAATAAAATGCTCAACGAAAAGGGAAACCTGAGGCCACTGTATACGAGATCGATGCGTACCTCGGTTTGGAGATAGATCTGAGCTTTAACGTTGTGGCATATCAGGCGTTTAATGACGCAAATTCTAGAGACGTTCGCAGTCACTGCCGTGCCTGTGGGAGCTGTGAGCCTCGACGAAAACGCGGTGCGCACGAAAGCGCGTTCATCTGCTAAAACGATCGTGCCTTCTAAGCCAGGTAAGTACGGTGTACGGTTTTATGCTGTCGTTGGGTGGGAGAGCTTGTATGCTTACTCTGTCGGGGACAATGGCTCCGGAAATCGAGCGAGAGCAGCTCCAGCAGCCCGCTACGTCGACGTTTTTCCCGCTCGTCGAACGGCATTGTTTAGGACCCTTAAAAGTGACGAAATTCCAATAGAACGCAAATATGCAAGTGCACTGTGGATTGCAATGTGTGGACCCCTCACCAAGACGTATACTGCACCGAATTTGCATCGCCTCCTCGTGTGCGATAATTTTTATACAAAACACAGACTTGCTAAGACTTCATGGCTTTTACTGACGGTGAAATGAAGATGCTGGGTACAGTGAGAATTTCTTTACAGAGGAAGTGGAATGCGATGGTGCTGGAGGGGGGGGGCTGGGAACTCGTTGCTGCATTAAGCCAGGTTGGGAGAAGCTTCAGGAGAAGCACAAACGAGCTCAGAAAAAGCCTGCAGATCACTTGAGAACCATGTATGTACCAAATATGGCAATAGCTGCTCGGGCTGGTTACATCGTGTTTCGGAACAAGCAGACTGTAGTATTTTTTACAATCGATCTACCAGATACTCCGCCACAGCATGTGCTGTCTCGCGAATCGGCCGAAGCGGTATGGCTCTATCGCGGACTTGCACATCTTCGGTGTTGGGCCTGTGACTACGTGAAGCACCGCAAAACGTTCCAAGTCCCAGCAATGGTTGTCGCGTAGAACATTTTCATGAATGGTGCTTACCGAGTGGATCAACTTCGGAGCACCAATCCAATTCGTTGCAAGGAGAAGAAACTTTCAATGAGTATATTGACATGAGCTTTGAATTTAACACTTTTCAATGCTTTTTCGCTATTAAAAAAGGCTGCAGCAAATAAGGTGAAGCTGCGTAAATTCAAACAGCGCGTAGCTGAAAACTGACATCAGCTCAACGTGCAAGAATGGAGAAGGATCGGCGCCGACACCCAGTACCCAGAAAGCCGATACAAGATGCGGTAGGAGCTGACAATAACTACACCCAACCCAAAGCAGAATTTCAGTGGAAAGCTAAATTGCTATCTGTGCACGGGCTGCCAAAGAGGGTTACACGTAGCCTACTTCAGTGCGTTTCACTTTCAGGACGCGTTGAGCTCCACCTCGCTTACAGTCCACTTAGCACTTGATGCTGTCTGCGCTGCAGCGGTCGGCCATCCGATTGCACATACCCGACTAAGGAAAAACAGGCCCAAAACGTATCTAGATGAGCCAGAGCTACCGTCGAAGCAGGTAAATAGCTAAAGAATTGTAACTGATTTTGTTAATGAGGCGGGCTATTTCCTTGCCTACGCAGAGTGGAAGCTTGATTCGAGTTGACTTGCACAGGCGACCATTCATCTTCTAGTAGTAGAGCTGCGCGAGCGCTCGTGTCACACGGCTGGATGTTAGCCGTCGCTGAGTGCATGACATCATGCGTATTCTGCTGCCAATGATGTATTTGCCGTACTGTTGCCACTCGTATGGAGCGTCGCCGCAATAGAAGCACGTGTGGGGAGGCATCTTGCTCCACATCTTCAAATTTTAAAATGCGAGCAGTACCGTGAGCTACTGATTTTCAAAATGTGCGATCCACGTGGGTAGGAGAGTGAACCTGATAGGCCGATTATTTACTTTGGCGGCGCGCTCATTGACCGAGCTACAGGTCCGTGGTTGACCACTAAAAACCTCTGGTAATGAAAGGGTTAACCGCCGATAGATGCCGTATATTACTTCCAAAAGTCGCACTACCGTATTCCAACAACTACCGCAGCCGTAAATTTATCCATTTATGGTCGATTTAAGAACTTAATGGCTGCGTTACTAAAAATTATAAATTATCCGAGATATAAAACGCTTCCGTCTTGGGTACGTATCTGTTCTTTTAAGCTCAATTTGTTTTAAATACTGAGCCTTCCATTTCAGAATTTGCGTGGGAGCGAGAAGAACGCGCGGCTGCGCCAGGAACACGAGTTCCTCACCCGACGCTGATGTAGCTGAAGCCCCATGACTCGTGCGCAGGACGCGGCCAAGCCAGAGAGATCCAAGCTTTTAGGAACCAGTCTACGGTATCGTGTCTAATTTTTTGGCGTGGCAATTCATGGAGTTGACTGTACGCGGAGTAAGGTTTCCCAAAATGCATATCAACGAAGAAGACGCGAATGGAGGGCTTCAATGTGTTACTGGATCGCTGCTATCAGTACGTTTTGGTCTTCCAAATGAAGCGGCGCAGCCGTACATAAAATACATTGATGTGCAAACGACGCAATGAATTACGTTCATACACTCATCACTCCCTGCTACACTCTCTTCCAAGCTCTTGTTCGCCACCATCGTCTCATGTGCGTTGAGCTCAGCGATAGCACGCCTTATTATGTTGTGGTCCGTCGCGACAGTTATGATCTTGTGTCCAATGAAATCATCAAAGATCTGGCGATTCTTCTCAAACAGATCTGTTTCGAACGCCAAGTCATAAAACTTCACCCAGGTGTCCTTGGAGACGATTCCGAATGACGTGTTGGACTTGGCGGCGATGCTTTCCGTGGCTTCTTTCTTGTATTCCTCGATCTCAGCTTCCCTCAGTTGCTTTGTCTCCCCTTTATCATCTCGGACCATTCGCGAAGCTTCGTCTCATCAATCACCTATCTATCTTTCCACAATAAGTCGCCGTCTATCGTCTATTTAAATTCGGGCTTTGGTTCCTCGCACCTTTGCTTTTTTTGCGACCCGTCGACTGATGAGTGACGCCACGCTTTTTGCCTATGACGCTGGTGGCCCCGGTGATCTTTTGTTCTCTGACTGCATCGTCGGCGACCTTAGTGACCTCGGCGTCCCCGTCTCAGTTGGTTTCGACGTGATCGGTCTGCGGCTCGTATGACATGTCTGCAATGTCGTCTGTGCCGGTGCTGACTCGACGCTGCTGGGTTAAGAGCTGGTTAAGAGTGGCATCCGAGTCGCTCTCTTCCTCGTCTTCACCACTGGCATCGCTGTCAAATATATCGACATTCGGAGTATCCGCTCGCGGAACGGTAGATGATTGACCCAGTCTGTCTTCAGCTTCGGCTACTTGTCTTCGAAGCTCGTTGCAGTGGCTAACGTGTAAATCGAACACTTGCTTGAGCGCAGACTGTATAGTAAACGGGTAGGGGACATGGGGCTTGAGCTTCCATGAGTGCTCACTCCATTCATCCCGAGCTGTATGTTCTTGTCTTTAGCAAGTAGCACGAGCTGAATCGCGCGCGCCCCCAAGGCAGCGATCTCTACTTCCAATTCCTTGCCACGATGCGTGGAGAAACGCTTCACCCAAACTTCGTAGTCGTCGAGGTGCGGATACTCGTGAACAAACACTGTGGCGTCGGGGTCTTCTCCTTGGGTTGCATAGGGAGCATAACACGAAATTTTCAATCAGCATTGCCTTTGTTCCGATAATCATCTACGCTGTACCCTTGTCAAAGTTATTCTTCTTGAGTTTAATCACCATAATCTTGTGGGCTCTTTAGTCACGAGGCGATCAACGCGGCCGATTGAGTTGAGAACCTCAGACTTAAAGGATACCTCTCTGCGCAGCTCAGCGTTGTCGACAGCGTCATATTCGCGAGCAACAGCCTCCATTCCTTCATCGACCAACACGACCTTCTCCGCCTCGTTGAATATCTCAAATGCTCGGTTTCCACTGGTGCGCAGCGTGTCACGAACGATTGAGTGTAGCCGAGTGACTCCTTCGTCTGAAAGCGCAGCTGATGCGAGGCAGAACAGTGGGAGGTTGCCGTCTTTGGCAAGGTAAACACGCTCGATTCCGTCACGCCAAATGAAGTCGCCGATAGCAGACCTGTGGGGCGGCGCTTTTTCCATGTGACGTTAGCGCTGGTTTTCTTTGTAGCGATCTCATCTGACATCTTGCGGATATCTGCGACGCGACAGCTGTGAATGCGCTGCCGACGCTGGTCCTCAAGCTTCAGGCTCTCTTCTTGATCCTCTTGCTCTTCTTGCTCGTCTTGGTTATCGTGTTCGTCTTCAGCGTCTGACTCGTCTTTTGTGTTCTCGCCGCGCTCACAAACGTCAGCTTCAGATATTTCTTCGGTTTGCTCGGCGCGTCGGCAACGCAATGCACTAGCGCGCTGTAGTAGTAGCTGTTGTTTGCCGTCAGCTTAAAAAGTGAGATGGTCACAGGCCATCTCTTTTTTTAACATCCCTCGGCTTATCTTATTGATGGGCACGCTCCTCTTTCCTCGCTTTCTCCTTTGAATGACAGATGTGGCTGCTGCTATTAGCCAATCAAAATTCTTCATTCACAGCATACAACTTACTTATATTGTGGCGTAACACTCCTACTAAAGATGCTGGTGTTGTCCATCAATCTTACTCATTGTCCATCAAGGTCTTTCTCGAAGGATGCAACGTCAACACTGTTCTCAGATTAGTAACCAAAATTACTACCCATATCTCCAATCGGATGTACTCTTTTACACAATGGGTGCTTTTGAACCAATTTATAGCTCATATCATATTCTTTACTTTATCTTATATAAATATTATACGCAATTTTTGTATCGACGTTTCCGACAATGAATGAGACTCCTCACTCTCTCTTTTGCTTTTTTACTGCACAAGTGCTGGTCCCGACGAAAGCCTCAGGGGTGCGTCCACAAGCTGCTTGTACTCTTCCAGGCGACAGTGATCCGGCCTAAGCCGCAGTGGCCTTTCAGGTCCCGGCCTTTGGCGCGCTAACGGAGCACCAACCGCTAATTGGGGACACGTCACTGAGAAAGTCCGGTTATCCGGCTACCCGTGGGCGTCTAGTCTTTGACATTTTTACTTTTCAGCTGCGGTAAAAGAGAGAGTCAAGTAATAAAAGTGACTAAGGATTGAGGCCGTGTTCGCGCTGCCCATAAAATAGGTATTCATCGGGCAAAATTGGATTTGGGGTCGAAATAGAAACCGTGAACACGACGAAAAGTAAATTGAACTTTGAGGCCAAAGTGGGGTTTGCTCTTCCGTTTTGAAATTCGGGTCCAGACCTGAATTTTGGTCAAAATCGATCTTTGGTCGGCACAATTAAGGCTAATGTTACTTTATAGTGTTTACTAAACCGATGGGATTCTCCTCGTACATGTAATAAGTCCTCCCTCATTAATCAAAAGACCGCGGAGGACATAGTCTTAGGCATGGAGTCGAAGCCGCAGCAAGCCGCGAAGCACAGCGGCAAGAGCCGTAGCCCTTCCCACAAGGTTAAGACGGAAGACACTCGAGAGGAGAAGGGCGGCGGAAGCAAGAGCGGTGGCGCCAAGAGCACCAGCAGCAAGAGCAAATTGGACGAGACCAGCGAGGTGGTGTGAAGGGCCTCCACGATAGCGTACACACCATGAATCCGATACCCATGGACAGTCCAATACGCTAAGTCGAATATGACTTCTTGTGATCGACAAGTCGACGCTGTTCGGATCCAGTGGAGCGCAATAGCAAGCACTTCACGCTGATGGTTCAGCGAGCTTCGAATATGGACATTGCAGCGTGCGAATAGTGCATCAAACACCTGGGCATCCATTCGAAAGTGATCTCTAAGAGCCTGGATTGGTGAATTGTAGATCGCTTCAAAGAAGCGCTGACCATCGTTTGTTGTGAGACCGAGGAGCCTCACTGCCTTCTGGTATTCTTCTTATCGTAACTGTAGCCACAGAAGCATTGCTGAAATCATGAGCAGGAGGGTCAACATGGTTCTTGGCAAGACCACGTCTGTCAGCTTGACGGAGACCGTATAATGTCACTAAACTGACATAAGTGTCACTAAGTTGGGTACCTGATAAAGTACAGTATTACCAAGGACGAACACACCATGGTCCGAAAGCAAACTTCGTGTGAGATACAAATCCGTGTCCCCAAATTGAAGTTTTTCGAAAAAGGTATTTATGGCAACTGTTGGCAGGCGCGAACACGGCCTGAGTAAAATGTACTCTGGGGTGAAGCCTGAAGGTGTCAAAGTTATATTTAGAGGTCTAGGGGACATAAAAAAATTATTTTTTCCTTAAAATATTTCTTTAATCTATTAAAACGCTCTCTTAACGGTTAGCATTCATCTGACTTTGTATTTCTTATCTGGAAATTACACTTTAGCTTGCGAACTTTCCTTTTTCATCACTTTCACCCTTTTTGAGAATTACACTCTTTATTTGAGGTACTCAAAACATAATTTGAGCTACCCTCATTTGTAACGGTTTCTTTTACTCCCATCATTAAACGGAGTTTTTCATAGTGTTCTTGTGTAGCGGTGTTACATGGTGTGGAACACACAGGGGTACGAAGTACTTAGAGAGCTAACAAACTCTGAGTACATAAGTTGGAGAGCTAACAAGGTCCCTCAGTACGTTGGCTGAAACCCACACGTTATGCATTTGATTAGGTTTAGCTAAGCTAGATAGTTAAACAGATACATTTACCCCTAGGTGGCTTGGCCGCAATAATAGTAAAAATAAAACACTTCTGATCTTAGAGCATAAAAGTTAAGGTATTAGCTTTGAGCCCTGGTCTTGTGCTGTAAGCTCCTTTGGATAAGAAACTTAGTATTAGTGACTCTTAGAGTCGAACGTCTTCCCCTGACGCTAAAGCTACGGCAGCCCCGCTGCACATTGACTTAGCGGTTAGCTAGGGCATCAGCCACCATATCATCTGTATTACAGTATGAAAGACTGATACTCTTTTCTTCATGTTTGTCCCGGGCGTATAGATGTCTAATATATATGTGCTTAGTGGACGAGTGACTGCATGGGTCCTCAAAAATACTTATTATGGCAGTGTTATCACACCAACGTGTGTCGGCTGTACTTGGCCGAAGCCTAGTCCATTTAAAAGCAGCCGTAGCCACATTGCATCCCTTACACCCTCACTCCGCTGTATTAAGACTAATACAATCTTGCTTAATACTTTTCCAAGCAATGCATACACCAGCTAGTAATGACACAATCCCGTAATAGATTTTAATTTTTCATTTGCATTCGCGTCTGTGTATAGCTCTAGCTCAATAGTACTATTTTCATTGTACTCTATGCCATACTTCGAGGCTCCTTTCAAGTACTTTAGTACTCGCTGAGCCGCCAGCCAATGCGTCTTATTATAGCAAGACAAGTATTTACTTAGCTCCCTAACAGCATTAGCTATATTGGGTCTAGTTCCTCTAACTAGATACATTAAAGAACTCACTAAGACTCTGTAATCAAACGGCTGTGCCGCTTTTTGCTCTGGCGTTAGGGTTGTTTCCTTTTCTAGAACCACGCTCTTAGCTTGTGGTGTATGTACTGCTGTGCAGTCCCGCATCTGAAACTTTTCTAAAAGGTCATTTATATACTTTTGCTGAGACAAGCTCAGAGTTTTCTTTTCTAGCTCCCTTTTGATCTCCATTTTTAGAAAGTGGTGCAGATCACCAAAATCTTTCATTGCAAACTTAGCAGAAAACTTCGCCTTTAGCTCGTTAACTAAGCTCAAATGTGACTCTGCGATGGTCAGGTCGTCAACATACACGCACGCAATAAGGATGTGCTTGAGTACTTCTACCACCGTTTTAGATTCAAGCAATGCTCTTTCTTGCATCTAAGACCGTCTAAGCTCTTAAGATACCCCCCCCCCCATCGCAATACCAACTTTTCCTTAGCAGACAGGTGAATTGCATCTGAGACTGAGGGTGGATTTTCTGGACTTCCCTGCAGAAAGTCCGCCATCAGCACGCGCACTTCTGGTAGTCCCTGCTCTAACTGCTTGCGCTTATAAAGTTGATCTTGAGTGTTGACGTGGCGTGGGTCAGCAACTTTTCCTTCCACATAGTATACCCCTTGCCCTTAAATTTTTTAAGTCCGCTAGTGTTCCTTTCATTGGTTATGGACCGTTATTTGAACTTAAAATGTTAGTAGTTGCTGTTGTTTGCCGCAGTTTAAAAAGTGAGATGATCACAGGCCATCTCTTCTAGAACATCCCTCGGCATATCTTATTGATGGGCACGCTGGCCTCTTTCCTCTCTTTCTCCTTTGGATGGGAGAGGTGGCTGCTGTTATTAGTAAATTAGGATAACTCAACTGATCGTAATAGCCTTCCATAATTCTTCATTCACAGCATACAACTTACATATATTGTGGCGTAACACGCGCACTTGTCTGATCCGCGCTGTGTACTCATGGACATTGACAAGCGTCTCCGCGTTAGGAAAAAGCTCGGGCTCGACGTCTGGCTACGTGCTGCCCAAGGCACAAATATATTGCAGCACTGCGATCATCTATAGTTTAAAATAAATAAAATATCGCTTTTAATTAAATATCACGGGCTCCCATATCCAATATCGCTGTGGTCGTTTTTGCGATTGAATAGATAGCGCTGTTGGATAGGATTGTGGCGATTACTAATCGACCTAAAAAAGGCCATGTTATGTGCATGTACCCCACAACCCACTATCAACTGGGTATCGGAAGGTCTCTATTGGGGCAAATAAGTGCGATTTTGAATTCTGAGTTTGAAGCCAAAAAGTACAATAATAAGTGTGTGCGAACTTAGCGCAGTGGCGCCAGGCGCCATTGCGACATTTTGAGCTGCAAACCTCCCAATTGTATCATCGAAAAGTGCGAAATCGATTCATTCATTTTGGCGCGAAATGCATCTGAAAAATGCGCGTCACCACGGCGCGACCAACCCCAAAAAGATCAGCAGACTTGATCGGCTCGGCGATATATTGGCTTCCTTATCAGAAGACGAGGAAGAAGCCAAGACGGGGGGCGTCAGCCCATAAACTACATCGAGGCCACGGACTGCAGCCTTAGCGCTCGTTCCCCCACATCCTCCTCAGCAGCCTGGCTTTAGAGGAAAATTACCTCTTCACTGAAGCGCGACCACGATTGCTTTGACCGGGGTAAATCGTCGAAGCAGATATTTCATCACGCAGGTAGCGTAATGCTCCCTCTCGGCAGGGTGCACGTCCACGGTGAAGTCTTGTACTCCAACATTCCGCATTGCGCTCGGGAGCCCTGTCTAAATGCAGTGTGATTGTCAAAACTCAGGCTTACTTTACGCTAATAAAAAAATATTAGCACTTATCCGACCTAGCTTAAGTTTAGTATCAGCATTAATGGTCAATCATATATTAATTTGTTTCGGATAACCAATCACATCCAAATACAAAGCCAGTAGGGTTAGGCTGGTCATCTTAACTTCACATCGGACGTATCAGGTCCAAGGGGCACGGAAAATTTGTGTATCCCCTTGATATTAAGAGGCTGGCGTATCACACGCATATTTTTATTTTATCCGACCGGCGTAATCAATTCGGTACAAACGAGCCAGTGAAATTTGTTGTATTTATACCGTAGCAATTTCTAGATGACGCTAAAATGGC